TTAAAACCTTACATTGATCCGACATCGGGCCGAAATGTCTGTTCGGGATCATTCTTCTTGGTTTCTTCATTACTCCACTGCCGTATATCAATTGACAAATCCATGTTTCAATCGACCACCGTGACGCTGCAGTCGCAGCGGTGATAAGTCCGAAATAATGTGTCAAACTGAATACATTTTTGAAATTTCAACCAAAAAACTATTATTTTCTATTTATTCTGGCGAGTTTCTGTGGAAGTCCAAACATGATCCGAGCAAAAAAGTAGTACTCGTAATAATGGTATATAATGCTGAATTTTATCGTGCTTTGTTTCGAAAATATCTTCCAAATAAACAAACATCATCCAAATCACCCAAATCGTCCACCGACTAAATCTATTGTCACTTAAAAATTAATTTCAGTCGGTGTATTAATCAGCAGATTAAATCGTTTTTCGTCTGGTGCTACACCGAGCAATCGGCCTATTTAATAGTTTTTCGTCGATTGGTTTAGTCGGCCAACTTTGTCTGTTGTTTAATCGGCAGATGATTTCAAACCTTAACATGTTTTCAGTAATTTATAAGTCTTGAAGTAGCTTTCTATTTAAGAACAATGCATTACAAAATAGTTTTATGCATTTTGTACAAGATTCATCCATGCTGACAAGAAATTTTCATGAAATTACATTGAAATTAAATAATTTTGCAAACAATCAATGAAATTTTCAAGGGCTGTCACAGACTTATCACCGTCGGTTAGTGCTTATTCGTGCCACCAGGCGCGCATGAGTTTAAGTTGGATTTCTCAATTGTATATAATGTCTCGTGACAGCCTTTTCGAGACAGCCACTTGGGTAAGCTGAGGGATGTCGTCGGTTTGTGAAAGCTGTCATTACGACAGAAACATTGAAAACCTGATCATAAAGAAATGTGTAAATACAGCCCATTCGGTTCACTACGTTCCAAGCACGATGATTTTTGCAAAGCGGGTATTGGCAAATCATAGTTGGCACTCGTGGAGAATAGAAGAACTATGAGATTGATGATGGTTTCAAAATTTTCCACGGGGAGGTATACGAGTGCAATCTTAAAATACTTTTATTTTGCAAATGGATCATTTTATTTAAATCGTTTGCCAATTGATGCGACTGTTCTAAAACAGCTTTCATTTTTTCGTGCGTGCGCTGTTGCCAATACACTTCGAATCCAGATCTGAACGTACGGTAGCAAGCGATAGTAAAGCACACAAAGCAGCAGTCAATTCAGGTATAAACCAACTGTCGCGAGAAGGCTGTACTATCTGGAAGCCTGCACATAAGTTTCGTCGTCCATGACGACACAGTCGAACTTTGTGAACAGATTCGTATTCAGCTTTCGGGACCGCCACCTGCACCTTCTTAAACGTCGACAACCCGAAAATTTCGACACGCTTCTCCTCTTGCTTGGACGTCATTTTGGAAGCCTGGAGAGCATACGATGAAAACTCATCATAGCAACCATTGTACACTACTACACTCAACTTCAACTTCCAAATGCAGTATTTCAGTTTTTTTATGCATTTTTAACAGAAATACACCAATTTGAAGTTGACCAATTTTTGTGCGTTCCAGACTTTATCTTATTTTTCACTCATACCCAGAAGCGTCCACTTGACTCTACGATTATCCAAGGTAATCAACCAGTCCAAACTAAAACATCTCGTAGTAACCCTCATCCGATTTTACAAAACTTAAGACGGGTTCTTAGGGAAGGTCCATTAATTATGTCACGCAAATTTGGTCCATTTTCAACCCCCCCCCCCCTCCCCACGTCATCCTTTGTCACATTTTTTTTGTATGGCCCTTAATTTTGTTTGTATGACTCGTCACAGTTTCCAAACCCCCCTCCCCCTAAAAGTGTGACATAATTAATGGACGATCCCTTAGCGATTGAACAATTATGTTTGTGGATGGATTGATTTAACTCGGATAATCTTAAAGTCACACATCCGGCTCATACCATATTTTCAATATTTAAAATATCAGGGTAAAGTGCTGTAAATGTATTAAATTGGGCTGGTTAGTATTTGTATCAACATAATATAATAATACCAAAAAAAAAATCACTCTGACAGTCGGTGTTTATTCAAACAATTTTAATTTAATATTTGTTGATGTACGTGCGGCTTCTTTTATCAATATTGAGTAATTATGAGCTACTTATATTTACTCACTGCAAAAAGATTAACGCTGACACTCTGAGTACAGCTGGCTTGCCTCTGACATTTGACAGAGTTTAATCAGAGGTTCGTGAATTTTCTTAAATGTTGAAGGGTGCTTCAATTAGCTTTATGACTTTCTGAGAATTAGGCAAACTATTTCCGGATCTCGTGAATAGTGACCACAATTTTGAAATTTCCTTGGCTTGAACTAAAGAAATATCTCACCTCAAATATATTAACGGTCATTGGAACCACATGCATGGTTCTTCTGTGTTGGGGACAGAAGTGGTAAATGTTATGAAAATGTTGTGGGGAAAATGTCCTGATATTAGTTACAATGGGTGACATCTCTGCAGTAAAAATGTACATTTACTACCTCTGGTTGGAAAAGGTCAGTTCTCCATATAAATGGTGAGAGCTACAAATTTATAATTTCCACGGGCTGTCGACAAATATTTCATCACACATGTTGGTCAGTGGTGCCAATCCCGGCAAAAAATATCTAAATTTGTAGACTGAATAATATTTTCATGGACTTCCCTCATATTCGGGAAGTTTTTCCTGGTTTTCCACGGCTTTCGTCGGGAAAATTCAACTCACTTATGAGAGAATCCACTTTTGCCGAAATTGAGTCTTAATTTTGAGTAGGTCTGAACGACCTTGTAGTAAGTTAAAGCACAAACGAAGTGACAGACGACTAACCAGCGAAGAAATCCATTAAAATAATGTGGTTCACTGTAATAGAATTTTCTTGGAAGCTTGTGCCATCATCGACCAGATGGGTTAGTTTTTTTGTTTTGATTTGAACAAAGTTGATTTTGTGTACAATGATTCTTTGACAGTGCTTCTAACAAAGCTACCTTGATGACATTTTTTTTTGTCGATAATTATTATTGCATGTAGTACGAATGAAAATCATCTTCTTCCTAATAGTACGTTCAGACTACAGAGTTATAACATGTGTTATTTGACAACCGTTATAACATGTTATAACTCTGTAGTATTGCCAGTTCAGACAAAAATCAGCATTTGGCGTCAGATTTGGCAACCGAAATTGACAATCGTCACTGACAGCTGCTTTTGGGATTTTCGAACACTGAACCAAAATCGTTCCTTGAAGACCGAGCTGAAGACCTTGTTCGCATGAAAACACATAAAATATGAAAGGAAACATTCAAAACAACAATTAAGGTGGAAGTTCGCAAGATAAATTGAAGAAATCTTGAAATACTTGAATAGAATAATAAATTAAAACTGCTTTTCAGCGCATTGGCAAAAGAAGATCCTCCAACCAACCTATGGACTACTACACTATTTCATTTCATGAGGACACCCGTCTCCACAATTATTTAGTAGATTTGATGGTTACATGTGGTTCCAGTATAGCCTGATTGATACAATTGATAATCCAGCGGATCGGGTCGATTGCATCAAGAGGTATCGATCTGTCTTTAACCGAGGCTTCGAAGAATGATAGTTATTATCCGGTTTTGTGTGAAATGTATGTGAATCAGCAATATGAGAGCAACCGTACCAATGAGTAAATAAGGCACATTTACCAACCTCTACCATAACGCTACTTGCGTACCGGGGGTTGCTATGCAGGTAAAATAGCAATCCGCACCTTGGGAAGTAGTGAGTTCATAAATTTAGCAATCCGGTAGCAACGCATCAGACGGTTGCTATTTTGAATAAACGTCAAAAGTTTGTTTTGCCGGTGTGGAAAACGGTAACTTAAATTATGACTCTGACAACGACCGGTGTGGAGAAGAGTGATTAAACGAAAATGGAAACGCTATGCGTAAGTAAAATAATATGGTAAGCGTGATTGCCTCTCACCCCAGCAGGCCTGGGTTCAATCCCAGTCGGCGCCGCCGGGATGTTCTGAGGCATAACATCTCTGATCACGCCTTCCTTCGGAAGGGAAGTAAAGCCGTTGGTCCCCGGTTCATGAGTTGATGGGTCGATAGGTAGGGTCCAGGTGTGGGAGCTGCCTTCCTGGCGTCGGTAGCATTGGTGCTCAGCACGGAAAACAACATCGACGGAAAACAAATCCAAGGAAAAAAAAACAGTAAAATAGTGCCGCAAATGGCAACGACTGGTACGGTTGCTCTGAACGTACTATAAAGCGACGACGTAGGGGAAATGGCTCTAATATTGGTCTATGGATCTAAGATTGGGCCCATCGATAAAAATTTGCTATTTATAAATTTTATCTAGATTTTTTTTTTTTTTGTTTATTAATTTATTTGATAAGGCTCAACCGAATTAACTTTACAGAGCCGAGGATTCTTGGTCACTATACAATACATCTTAAAACTATAGTCAAAAGGTACAACACAACAAACACTTTATCTTCCGCTATCCAAAAAGCCTCCTCCATCAGAACTGGAGCCGCTTCCAGTGGCTTCATTGTATGGCAAATTGTTGTACGCCAACGAGGGTCAGAGCGCGTCCATTGCAGCAATGGACGCAAAACGTGGTCAGCACTCACACACTCATCACGAAACGGTTGCTTTTCAAAGTCGACGACGCATCGACCGAAAGAACTGATGATGAAGAACAATGAGGAGGACCACACAATGGTTGCTGCCGAGAAAACAGACGATCGCGTAGCACACATCGAGAGTGGCCTGCTTTTGTCGACAGCCGAGTGAACACTGATTTTATCTAGAGATGGTACTTTTTTTTTTTTTTTTTTTGTCGTTATTGAAAATTTAGTCGATTGCTTAAATTATGTATGGCCCAAATTAGGGGCATTTAGGCCGACATTACATCCATTTCCCCATATAAAAAACAAAAATCTTCCTTTAATTTTCAGCCAAAGTTACCTGAAAAAGCATCTCCAATCACACCAAGCGATGCATGACCCACCGGGACGTCATAACGGATCCAGTTCCGGAATGATCAACGCCGCCACGATAGCCCACCAAAATGCAGCCGCGGCAGCTGCCCTCTTCTGTGGTCAAGCGCCTCCTCACACAGCCGCAGCCGGTTCTTCGTCCTCAGCGAACCATTCGCTTGCCGGAGCATTCTCACGAAGTGCCGCCGGTGGATTGTTCCCATTCGCTGCTGCTGCCTACGGAGTTCCCAGTGCTCACTTCCCGAAGGACGTCGCCAACTACTCCGAGCTGGAAAAGAGACGCTGGCAGTCCCTGAGCGAACTCTATCTCCAACAACGGGAGCGACTGTCTGCCTTCCAGTACGTTAGACACCACCAGTACGAAGACTATCTGAAAAGGTACAATTGCATAATTATTTTCAAACAAAGGTTACTAAACAGTTCTTTTTCCACCAGCTTTCAACCATTCCACTTCGGTCGGGACAAAACATGACAGAACGTTCTGCGACCAGTTCCGCGTCTAGCGGCACCCATCTGGTCGCACAACCAATCTTCTACCGCGACCGTTGCGACGGCAATCGAGCCACCGCCCTCAACCGCAGGACCACAGCAGCCTACTTCGACGAACGTGGCCTCACCAACGGCCGCCGCTCGCATCATAGAACACGTACACCAAGGAGGCTACGAACGCTTGGATTAGTGCGGTAGAAAATGTGACATGTGTAAAGCTAAATTACTGTGTTAGATCATCTTTGGTCCCTTTTCCGCAGACGCCCTTGCGAACCAAGTGCGATTGTTTAGGAATTTCCCTTAGGACTTAAGAAACCTACTATCATCACGTTAAACGCCCCATAGATAGACGGAAGCGAACTTTGTTTCAACCCAAATTCCCGAATCTCCCCAAGAATGCATGTCGTAGGCGTTTAGAGAAACGAAATAGCAGAAAAGGAATCGTATAACATCAATAAACAAAACCTTTTATATTGGGCATATAGCAATATAATCAGTTTACTTGGATCGGGGGTTTTTGTTTCACTGGTTCCATTCACGGACGTCTCCCTCGGCGGACGAACAAGCGGCTGCTAGCTTGCTGCGATTAGGGTAAGTAGCTGGTAAAAGACTGTCAACAGGTAGGTAACGTAATTGCTGATGGCTGAGATGGGGTGGCCAATTTCCGGACGGCTGCAGTGATTCCACCCCAAGGGGAAATTGAAAAACAAACAGAACTTTCCCGCACCGCGCCACTGGGACCGGGGGGTGGGGATATTTTCCTTTTTTGATATGATTGATTTCCCGGGCGGAAGGAAGAAATGACCGTCGTCGCTTGTGACGGACGGATGGACGCGGACGGTGTGATGTGGTGTGTAGTGTCTTAGGATTGTCTATTTGTTTTTTCGCTATCCATTTGGATTGCGGTTGACGTGACTCTGTCACGGCGTGGCTAGGACGACGTTTCGAATGTCGTCGGGGAAATCTATCAAATATTCAATAATAGCGGCTAGATTGGATATGAATCGATCTGTCCCGGGTCGGTTGATGTCAGCTGGGAATGACACTTTTTTAGAAAATTGATTTCTTTGAAATGTAGTAAGGTTTTGAACTGGATGAGAGTATGGGGTTTGTCTAGTGTATTTAGACCGATTGGTGAAAAATCATGAACATTCATTAACAATTGTTGCGACGCTTAGTATAGCGAAGATATTCAAGTCCGATTTCTAAAACCGGTGTACTAAATAGGTAACCCACAGAACGATATTGAATAAGTTTGCAATTTGGCTCAATGGTGTGTATGGTAGAATACAATTTTAAAATAGACTTTTTAACCTTTCATTTGATACCTGTTTGTATATATAAGGGAAATGGCTCTAATGTTGGCCTATGGATCTAATATTGGGCCCATCGCAAAAAATCCGCTATGTATCAATTTTATCTAGATGAACGCGTCATTGGGACAGCACTAATGATATTTTTGATCACTATTTAAAATTTAGTCGATTGCTGAATTTACGTATGGGCCCAAATTAGGGGCACTTAGGCCGACATTACATCCATTTCCTCCTCCATTCAATATATTTTTCCGCAAAACTAATCTCATAAAATTGCAAGGGGTGACTCTATCTACGATGCAGGAAAGATTTTGTTTTGCTGTGGTTAGCTACGCACACGCGGAGCAGATAGAAAGAAGATTAATGATGATTCTAAAAAAATTCTGCAAAAAGATGATGCACGATGCAAGTAGATACGAAAAATGAAAGAAGATTTTTCGAAGATTGATTCGCTAATGTCAGATTTTTCGAGTATCTAGAATTGAGATTTAGATGTGACGTTCCCTCATAAAATTGTCTGTATCCGGCAAAACGGAACACTTGAAAGGACAAACCAAACGGTTTATTTTGATCTTATGCCTTGTTCAGACTACAGAGTTATAACATGTTATAGCGCTATCTTGATGGTGATTTCTGTGTTGCAATTATTTGACAACCGTTAGTCACAGGGGTGTATGAAAAATATGGGCAATTAGGGTACTGTGGTTACACACTTAACACTCCTGCTTAACCACGGTAGTCTCCAGTCCCAACATGGTACGGAGACCTCTGAAGATGGTGACCGGTAGACCCTTGTTAGAATGGCAACCCTGGCAACTCTACTGTGAGGTGGTTGTGGGAAAACGGGATCGACCAGCAGGTTATCACAGCGGAAAGAACCCGACACAAGGCAGAAACTCGGGTGAACGCGTAACGAGGCCAGAAAAGAAAATGCAACACGGAGCTCGGTACGAAAACAACTTTATTCGCGGTCGGTACAAAAGTAACTGAAAGTCGTTTCTGTTCTTTACTTACTCTTTCTCCTCTCTCTCGTTCGTCGACTGGTTTGTCGACTCATCGTCGGTGTCGCAGTGGTGGCGTATATGAATATCGCCCCCACCAACACTCCTCCTCGATATTGGAGCTACGCACCACGTTCGACTCGATCGTCCCCGTTGGTCAAGCCCAGCGCAGTTGCAAACTGCTTCTGCTTCACGCATCCGACAGGCTTGGTCAGTACATCGGCTACCATTGTCTCCGAAGCACAGTACTTCAGGATAACGATTCCTTTCTGCACCAAATCCTTCGTATAGTGCATTCTGGTATCAATATGCTTGGATAATCTTGATTGGCGCTCGACCTCCACGAAACTTATACAGCTAGTATTGTCCTCGTAGATGACAGTCGGCCCACGTTGTTCCGCATTCATCTCTGCCAGCAATCGCCGCAGCCATACAACCTCCTTGCAAGCTTCGGACAGAGCGATGTACTCAGCTTCCATGCTCGACAGAGAAACATTTCCCTGCTTCCTGCTGGCCCAGCACACTGTTGCATCTCCAACTTGATACAGATATCCCGTATTGGATTTCCTGTCCGAGCTATCACTAGCCCAGTCCGCGTCACAATATCCGATCAACTTAATAGGCTCCACTCTGTTCGTCGACAACTTCAGTTTATAGCAATTTGTACTCATAAGGTATCGAACGACGCGCTTCAGTTCAGTCCAATCAGCTTCTACGGGACTGCTAACACACCTTCCCAAAATCGCTACGCTCGCTGCGATGTCCGGCCGAGTGTTCACCGAGACGTAGAGCAGCGCTCCAACCAGGCTATGGTAGCGCTTATTGTCCGGCAAACTCTTGCTGTCTTTCCGGCTTTGATAATAGCCAACATCCAGCGGTAGTTTTGATCCTTTTGCTTCGCTAAGTCCGTATCGGTTTGCAACCTTCTTCACATACACCTCTTGATCCAGATTATAATATCCTTCACAGTCCTTGGTGACGCGTATCCCCAAGAAGAACGAGATTTCTCCTAGAGATGAAAGCTTCATCCTATTCGCCAGTTCCTTCTCGGTTTGCTTCATTTCGTTGACATCGGTGCTCGCAAGCAGCATATCATCCACACATATTAATAAATAGACTCGTACGCCGCTTCTCAAAGCCTTGACATACAAACATGGGTCCGCCTGTGACTGTTCAAACCCCAACTCCTTCAATATTGCGCTGATAGTTTCATTCCACACTTTGGCCGCTTGCTTCAACCCATAAAGACTGCGCTCTAGCTTGCAGACCAGATTCTCCTTGCCTGACTGCACGAATCCTTTTGGTTGCTGCATGTATATATCTTCCTGCAATCGCCCGTGAAGATACGCTGACTTTACGTCAATATGATGCACGCTCATCCGATGATGTCCCGCTACGGTAAGCAGAACCCGCAAGGTATTCTGCGAAGCCACTGGCGCGAAAACTGTGTCGTAGTCTATACCAGGGCGTTGTGAAAACCCCTGCGCCACTAAGCGTGCCTTAAAACGGGTTACATTGCCAACGCTGTCTTCCTTCCTTTTAAAAACCCATTTGCAGACTATTGGTTCTCGTCCAGCGGGCAGCTCCACAAGTTTCCAGGTCCCGTTTTGGATGAGCGAGTCGAACTCCTCCTTAATAGCAACCTTCCACAACATTTGCTCAGAGCTCCCAATTGCGTCCTCGTAGCTCACAGGTTCTTGTTCGACAGCCATGGCTACGTCCACCACATAATCTCGCAGATGCTTCGGAAGTACGCCTCTTGTGCTCCGAACTGTTTGCTGGTTCTGGCCTTGAACGGCTCTGCCGACGGGATCTTCTTCCTCGGTTTCGAAACCGTAAAATTCTTCTTCGGACTCCGAATTCTCCTCCTGAATCTGCTGCTGTTCTTCCTGCTCCTCCTGAACCTTGGCATCGTTCATTCCCCAGTCGAGCACCACACAATCTTCATCCTGCTTGCCATACCGACGATCCATCATCATGGAACCATTCTGCAGCTCCACAAAACGAGCGTCTCGGCTTATGGTAATCTTGTTGGTCTCCAGATCGAGGAATCTATAAGCCTTACGGTCTTCGCAGTATCCTACGAATAACAGTTTCTGAGCTTTAGCGTCCAATTTACTACGTTTAACGTCCGGGATGTGCACATATGCAGCACTCCCGAACACTCGAAAATGCTTCAGCGATGGCTTCCGTCCGATCCATCTCTCGAACGGCGTTTTGTCCACAGATCGTGACGGCATACGATTCTGGATGTAACCGGCAGTCATCACTGCCTCCCCCCAGTACTGCTTCCCGAGACCTGCGTCGAGCAACATGCAGGTTGCCATTTCCTGGAGGCTGCGGTTCTTCCGCTCCGCAACTCCGTTCTGCTGCGGGGAGTAGGCAGCCGTGTACTGAGCTTGAATTCCCTCCGAAGCATAGAACTCGTTAAGCTCTTGGTTCACATATTCGCCTCCGCCGTCGGATCTAATGACGCAAGGCGCTCTTCCGAATTTTGTCCTCGCATGTGCCACAAATCTCTTGATGCACCCGGCTGCCTCAGACTTTTGCCTTAAAAGACAGACCACCGTATAGCGACTGAAGTCATCAATTATGGTCATTAAATAACGACAACCTCCGGGTGTGACCGACTTCATAGGACCGCACACATCTGTGTGTACCAGATCCAGAATGCGACCTGTTCTGTTGCTACTCATTTTGGGAAAGGGAATACGAGAAAGTT